CAGATGAACCCATTACTTGAAGAACTAAGGATAGGCAAAAGCAAAGAAAATATGGAGTTGATCATGAAAATTAATTCCTTAGGTTCATACCAGCTGTCCATTCAAAGTTGATCATCAAATATGAAATGATTCCAAATAGTAATGTCTGCATGAAGATGTACGGAACTTCGACTAACCCTGTTTGCCAAAAAAGAAAAAGAAGTTGGTATTAGTAAACAATCTCATCATCTCTTCTAAAAGAAGTTCATATACCATCTAATTGAGTAGTCCAAGAAATACCAACATATGATTATTATATCTGTCGCAACTCGAAGCAATTAAGATGTACTTGATGTGAATGCGCTAACCTGAGCTGCTGCATATGGTAGAGGAGAGTATATTCCAGCAGCCTTCTCCCTGTAGAAAACTGTTCTCTCAATGGCAACTATTGGCTGTACGGAAGAAGCATTATCATTTCAAGTGTACTGCCCCAGTTAATAATTGGAGAATTGATCATAAAATTGATACAATCAAGGCTCTAATATTTAATCCAAGTTTGGAAACTGAAACCTTAGAATGGTTCTAATTGCTAGTTTACTTGCTGGTTTTCTCCCACTATATTATTTTGCATAGTTCTGCTTTTTCAATCTGGCAATCCAGCCATTTTGTCCATAGAAGTTACTTCTATATCATTAAATAAAAAAGAAAAAAGAGCAGCAATCTTGTACTGTTCTCATTTATCCTTCTTGAAGAATCCCCAGCAAAGAGTATGTAGGGGAAGTTGTTGTATATTTACATTGGAAATAACAAGCAACCAACTGTGTCTGCTTTATAAGGAATGAAAGAATTATCCAATAGTTTGCTCTAGATATTTCATAAGAGAAAAGTTACCTTTTTGAACCGACATCCCAAAATATAGAACCGAGAATCAGAGCACTAAACGTTGTAAAGAACAACCTAACAGCATTATAAATCGGACTTCTCCAATACACAGGATTTTGCTTCCAGAGACAGATCCTAAACTGAGAAAATGCACCTTGACTGTATATGTTGGTGAACTTTAGAGGTTCTAAGTTCTCAGGCGGGACGCTCAGTTGCTTAATTAAGGCCTCCACTCCCCTAATTTTAAAAAGAGATACAAAGAACTTGGGCACCCTCCAAGCAGTTTTTTATCAATGGTATCAGGAACCGAAGAATCACCAACCAAAATGCAAGACGTCAAGATTAGAATCTAAGATACTTTTGAGTTTTTGTTGGTGCAAATTCTGAAAATTTGAATGAAAATAGAAGGCATGACGGTTCTATCACAAGATGAGAACATAAGCAAGATGGAATTCGAGTGAGACTATGACACTTAGAAAAATGACATTGTAATCTCTAATGCCTTGATGAATATTAAGACTGCAAATATCGAATCTCCCTCCTGACAAGCACTCTCCAGTCAGTTTCTTTGGCTGCAGGAGAAGGAAGCTCAAGAGTAGCTTTGAAACTCTGGGCCCTGCACCTCTTTTTCTTGATCTCATAGTTCACAGGTATACCGGTAAAGAGGAGCAGGGAATGGGTTAGCAATAGATGAGGGGAAACTTCCTCCACTCATCAAAGATAAAATAATTTGTCACTTCTTCAGAACCTATTCTAGCTTTTCCCTAATCCTCTCATTCTACTTAATGATATCCAGTATTTGTTAACCCTGTTAGAACATTAGAGTAGTGTTAAATGTTCAAACTAAGTTACTTCCTCTAAGATCAAAGTCATTAATATAGTTTCCTCTTTTATTTTTCAAAGAAGAAAAAAGATACTAACTCAGTAATGTCTAACCTAAAGGAGGTGATACAGCAGTGAAGGAAAGAAGAGGTAAAAGAGCCTTTAGGAGCCGTTTAGACATAGAGATTTTCTCCAAAATAATTTTTAAACATTGTTTGGTTATATATTGGAACATTTTTTGGGTTACTTTCTGAACATGAGTTTTCAAGTATGAAAAACTGGTTTTGACCTCTTTTTCAATTGTGAATTTTTTTTTCCACTCACAAAACTTCAACTTCTTTTTCAAGTGAAATACATGTCAAACACAACATTATTTTCCAACTTCAACATCAAAGACTCTTTTTTTAAAGTTCCAACCAAATGTTTGTCCAAATGCCTACATAAAGCAGTATAGTACCATTGCTTTGTAATAAGTTAACATCCTCTGCTTTGTGACGCCTATCATTCTCATCCAAGCTGACTAAAGAGCCATGATCTCCATCTCTATATACAACCAGGTGTGGTCCTTTTAGGCCTTCAACTTCTTCCTAGAGAAACAACATACCAACATTAACAAACATAGGTCACGATCACATATGACTTTCCACGAAGTAAGCAGGCTTATCCAAAATTTTATATCACCTGTTGAACTGCACTATTCGCCTGAGCATCTATTCTATGCTTCTGAAGACAAGAATCCGAAACCCCCAAAAATAAAAATGACAGTCAAAGCACTCAACGTTGTAAAGAACAACCTAACAGCATTATAAGTCGGACTTCTCCAATACACAAGATTTTGCTTCCAGAGACAGATCCTAAACTGAGAAAATGCACCTTGACTGTATATGCTGGTGAACTTTAGAGGTTCTGAGTTCTCAGGCGGGACGCTCAGTTGCTTAATTAAGGCCTCCACTCCCCTAATTTTAAAAAGAGATACAAAGAACTTGGGCACCCTCCAAGCAGTTTTTATCAATGGTATCAGGAACCGAAGAATCACCAACCAAAATGCAAGACGTCAAGATGAGAATCTAAGATACTTTTGAGTTTTTGTTGGTGCAAATTCTGAAAATTTGAATGAAAATAAAAGGCATGACGGTTCTATCACAAGATGAGAACATAAGCAAGATGGAATTCGAGTGAGACTATGACACTTAGAAAAATGACATTACAGTGTTGGCATATTTAATAGGTCAAAGTTGTGCTTCCAACCACCAAATCTGAAGTGAGATGTATCCTGAGAGTTTGAATGAACCATCACTTGCATTCAATTTGTTGAGGTTCCTCAAATTAATCCGAAAACCACTGGGCAATAGCGGCAACGGAGTAGGAGAAGCATGTGCGCAAAGCAGGTCATCATCACTGCACACAAACGAACAAAATCTAAGAAACCAGACAAGACATATCCTTACAAAAATTAGCCGGTATTAATAAAGACGGACCTTTCAATATCAAAGATTTTAGAAGTAGACACTGAGATAAACAAAGGCGGTTCTCAGACAAGACACTATAAAATGGAAACAATAAAATTGTAGCACCAAAGCCACAAGAGAAGCTGCTTGGAGCTCGTATAAGAGGCAAATGTTATTACCTTTGTGTCGGAATGCTCGTGGCCGTTTGCCATCTGGTAGTATTAAATTGGATAATTAAGAATATGTTAGTGGGCTGGATTTGAACCGTTTCAAATGAGCTGAATTTGAGTGGTTGTGGGCTGATCAATTAATTATGGCTATTTAGTGTGATGTTTTAAATGAGGGGTTACTTTTATTTTGGATAACAACACAGATTTTTATTAATGAAAAAGATAAAATAATAAAAACACAGATTTTTATTTATTTAATTAAAAAGAAAAAAAAGGATTTTCAAATGGTGGCCATTGGGGGCTGCCACATCAGCGGTTTTGGATTCACATTTATATATATATATATATAGATTGCATTGTTTCATTTCAGAAGAGAAAACTGAAAAATAAAATTAGTAATAATGAAGATATCATGTCATTTACATTAAAAAATCAAGTGCAAAAAATCCTTTTGATAAGCGTTAATTTTGGCTAAATTTTAAAATAAAATAAAATAAAAAATTACTATTTTTTTGTTTTAACTTGTTTGTCTATTTCTAACCAAAAGAAAATAAGAAGAACAAATTAAAAATAAGAACTATATAAACATTGTTCTAACTAATTTTTTTTTTGATAAAGTCGAAAGTGCCCCTAAACAACTCAGCAAAAGTTTATTACGGGTCGGGTCAATCCGGTTGAGTCCGCCCTATATTAACAAACAATCGAAACGTACTCTTTGTTTCCTGGTCACCAACAACACTCTTCTCAGTCGTCCCTCTTTGCTGCTGAAGAACGCCGGCGACAAGCGACGGTGCCGGATTTCTCATCGAATTGTAGCATTCACATTAGAATCTTCATATCTGAACTCTATTTTGTGTGTTCACTTGCTTACTTCGCCCTGTTATCCCTTTCTGGTAAAACAGATTTTCTCTGTTTCTCCTTATCGTTTTTATCTGTATTTCAGCCTTGAATAAAGCATTGAAGTTATTTTCTGCTCTTATTAGTACTTTTAGAGCTATTATTTGAACTCAAATTGAACCCTAGATTGCTGTAAATCAGTTTTGCATGCCTGTTGTGCTTTTGTTTTTGCTATGCTTTAAGTTCATTTGTAATGTGCAGTTGTTCTGTTACGTTTTTGCTCTGTTTTGTTTACTTTATATGCCATTTTATTGCTTTAGGGTTTTTGAGACTTGTGAATTTTATGTTTTGTTTTTTCTAAATTTGCTTTTTCCTTTTGTTCCCTGGGGAATGGGTGATTTGGAGAAGTTCAAGGAAGGAATTAATGTTCTGGGGAAAATGATGACTTTCTTGTTGACATTGGAATGCAGCATTTGCTTTATGTGTGGATTAGTTTCTGAGAGACTACACTCACTTATCACAAAAAGAAAAAGATTTCATCAGAGACTAATAGAATTTACAGGTGTTTGATAAAAGGATGGAGGAGTATGTAAATTAGTTTTGGTGGAGAATCAATGAGGATAAGTGTCAAAGTTATACATGGATCTCTGTAGATTTCCTAGGATCAATGTAATTATGGTTTTAGCTTGTAACTTTTTGGAGGTAGCAAGCACACCCTTAATGCTGGAGAATACAACTTTAACTTTATAAAAAAAAGTTATACATGGATCTCTCTGGTGTAGTGTGGTAAAGAACTCATTTTTCCCATTGAATTCAACTGCTACAGATTGAAGTTGGTAGTGTATTTTTCTTGGGAGATATAGTAGATTACTAGATGCCTCTATAGAAAGAAAAAACGTGTCCTCTGCATAATCTTTATATAAAACGAATAAATCTAGCTAGAGCCAATTTTGATCACTCTACAGTTCCCTTAGATTGTGGAAAATGGAACCACAAGAGTTCTTACTTCAAATTTGAAAATCGGTGGTTAGAGGTGGATGGTTTGAAAGGGCTGATTCATGGAGCAGAACAAACTATGTGGATTTGATTAATAAGAAGAATAGTCTACTGAATGAGTTAAGCTACTAAAGTAGTATACTGAATGAGTAAATATCCTTATGAAGGCGTTGGTCTATGTTTGGTTGGTAAAGCTTGTCTTACTCAAGTTAAGCGACAAAGAAAAAGGTTTAGATTTGTTCAAGATGTCCTTTGTACGAACAAGAGGGTGAAAGCAATGAACGCTTATTCCTACAATGTAGGAGGACAACTGTAAACCTTGAGCACATCTTGTTTTGTTTGTTGGGAATAAGTTGGGCTATACCTTGTTCTACTTTGGCATGGTGGAGTAATAAGGTGGGGAGGAGGATCGGTGGAATATCATTCATGCTTGCATTTGGTGGACAGTGTGGAAAGAAAATAATGGTAGACATTTTGTAGGCACTAACAGTTCTATCCAGAAAATTAGAATGACTTGTCTTTAGCTTGTTCTTTTTTTGGTGTAAAATTTTTTTTGGAGGGAATTAGGAGAGTTCGTAGATTTTATTGACAAGGTATAATTATATAGGGTTTTAGGAAGGGGTTTAAGCACCCTTTTCTTGTAAAGTTGCTAAATTAGCACTTTTTTGGGTGGTTAAGCTTTTTACTGAATACAACTATTACTTGTTTCAAAAGTAACAATCTGAATATGTTCAGAATTTGCTGAACAATCATTGATTATGTTTCTCTGTCTGATCTTTCTTCTAGCTATAGATGAAGAAGAGCTCCCTTTGTACTTTTATAGTTGCTCCTTGCAGGGTGTAAGTAGCCTTTTGCCTACGGGTTCGGCAAAACCTTGTACCTTTGGCGCATATCTCATAGTTGTACAAAAAATGCCACTTAATATGTATGAATAATCTATTGAGAACCCAAAACTTCGCCTCTAAAATCTAGAAATAAAATTCAAAACGTAGCTCTGCCACCTTAGACTAACATCCGAATTTATCATAATGCTAATATTAATTTGATTCAAGTTAGGAATTGTTTATTATGTTGATAGAGTTCCTCAGTTCATAATAGTCAAGGAGTTGAGTTTTTTACTGTGTTGTCAAAGGCTCATTTAAGGCACACGACTTAAAGATCTGGGAGGGTGCTTTGCCTCTCAGGCAGTGTAGGCAGTTCACAAAGTACACCGTTGTCCCAACAAGTTAAAGTCTTATTGATAATGTTTTTTCATTAGAACTCTTCTCTTTTTTTCCTTTATTTGATTAAGGTTCTCCGTTTAACTTATCTCAAGCCAATATTGTACAAAGTAAAAGTATAAGGTACATGAAGTTCTCTATATTTTTT